TTCAAGCACCGCTCTGTCCCCCACTCGCAGGGAACTGCAGAGACTTTACTGTCTCTGAGGATCTCCTTTACAAAGAACGCACACCTCTGGTGAAATATGTCGCAGCCAGTCTTTCAAACTGGGAAATGTGACCTTATGCATGCAGGAGTGAAGGTCTAATTCTGCTAGCCACTTCAAGGTGAAGTGTTGAGTAGAGAGATTACGAGAGCTCTTTTTCCCAGGCCAGAAAGCTTCGAAGTTATTAGCGTTGTATCAGCTCTGGCAGGGACCCGTTAACTTCACTGCCAAGTCTGCGCTGCCTTTTGGTGAGGCCGCTGTGCTGTCAGCGGAGAAGCGCGAGGCCGTTTTTACATCAGACTCCAAGGTTTTCTTTAGAGGATGCTTTGATTGAGGGCCTAAAATCAGGACTGCCCACCGTGTCGCTGAGGTCCAGCTGTGAGGTCAAAGCACAGGCATGTTTTATTCAGCAGCCACCCAGCATTGCACATGCATTGCACGCAGCATGATTCTGGCAAAGGCAGCTGCAAAGATCACCTCAGCTACTGGCCTAATAGAGACTCTTCAGGCCAGAAGCTCAGGGCTTGCTCAGCAGATGGATTTACTGTCGCTCGCTGTTAATATCAAAACATCAGCTGATTTAGACACCGCATGGTTCGTCCTCTTCTGATCGATCAGCTGTTGCCCAATCTCTCCAGGCAGGAGTAAACCGAACAAAAACTCAACTAGCCCTGACAACTTGTGGCTTTCTTACTTTAAGTTTCAGACTTAATTTTCAAATGTGACAAACAACACTTTCATCTCTCTTTGTCTTATATCTGACTCTCTGGCAGTTCCACTCTGTGTGTCACTGAGTGTTGTTTGAAGTAGGCATGCAAAGCCTCTCGGGAAACTGTAAGAGAAACAAAGCACAGATGGTGTGTGCACTGGTAATGCACTGGTGAGCTAACAGTAAGTACAAAATATATTAACGCAAAACATTTGCAAAGAAGGGGCTTCTTAGATGCCTTCTTTAAACTCCTAGTACACTATTCCTATTTTTAGGTGGTTTTTTCCAGCATCTGTACAGATTCAAAAGGAAAGAAGTTAAATGCACAAGTTGAGCAGAGTAAAAGTACATAATCCAAATCTTTAACCCAGGCTAGCAGGCAGTCGATAAAGCAAACAGTCCAGGTGAGGAACCTGTACTATGAAGCAGGATTAGGGGCTTATCGAGGTAACTCCACGTTAAACATGTTTTCAGTGCTGCGAAGGTCCACTTCTGTAACAGCATGGATTACACTGCACACTGTGGAGCGGGTTATGTTTGAGATTAGACATCAACATGTACAAGAACATCGCTGCCTGACCACTATCACCACTCATCACTTTACTGTAAAATCGTGTCATTGTTCCTGAATGATGCCTCAGACGTCAGTGTGCAGGTGTCAGAGACAGTCCAGTGACTTCGTCTTCTTGTGACGAGCACTGAGGTACACCTTGCTCGTACTGGACTGGCTCTTTGCCTTAATTCTTCATAGCATCAATTTAATAACGTGCTGTAAAGGTTTTCGTCCATATCGGCATTATAGCATCACACAGTTGCTGCTCTTTGATTCACATTTCCTGTTTCACCACATCCCAGAGGGACTCTGTTGGACTCCACCTGAGTACAGTCGACTCACTGTCATGTTCAGGTTTGAGAAACCCTGCACCTGTTTAACTGCTTATTAATGCAAGCATCTAATCAGCCAATCACATGGCAGCTATTCTATGCATTCCGGCGTGTAGACATGGTCGAGACGACCTGCTGATGTTCAAACTAACAATCAGAAAGGGGAAGAAAGGGGATTTGAGTGATTTTGAATGTGGCGTGGCTGTTGGCCTGAGCGCGTCAGAAACTGCTGATCTGCTGGGATTTTCCCGCACAGCCACATCTGGAATTTACAGAGTGGTCTGTAGAAAAGAAACTATCCAGCGCACTGCCGTTCTCTGGGTGAAAATACTTTGTCAATGCCACAGGTCACAGGAGAATAGGGAGACTGCTCCAAGCTGATAGGAAGGCAACAGCAACTCAAATAAGCACTTGCTAAAACCAGCGTTGCAAAGAGGCATCTTTGAATGCACAACATGTCAAACCTTGAAGCAGATGGGCTACAGCAGCAGAAGACCACACCGGGTCCACTCCTGTCAGCTAAGAACAGGAAACTGAGGCTACAGTTCACACAGACTCTCCAAAACTGGACAACAGCAAATCGGAAAAACGTTGCCTGGGGATCTGAATGTTGTGTTAAAAAACACGAAGTCATCCTGCCCTGTATCAGCAGGTCCATGTAATGGTGTGGGGATGTTTTTGTATCACACTCTGGCCCAGCTGAGCATCATTTAAATGCCACAGCCTACCTGAGTGTTGTTGCTGACCGTGCCACGTGTGTGTGTGTGTGTGTGTGTGTGTGTGTGTGTGTGTGTGTGTGTGTGTGTGTGTGTGTGTGTGTGTGTGTGTGTGCTCTGTTATTTCCAGGTGAAAACACAAATGCCAGATTAAAAACAGAAACGTGATCATTATCAAAAATAATCTGTGGAGGATCAGAGGAATTCCTCTTCTTCCAAAAAACATCTCATGACCCCTCAGATCAGATTGTTTCCTCGTCCTCTATATTTATACCCAAACCCTGTACAGTCTTGGCCTCATACAATCAATAGTCTTTTCTAATGGTGTTGTATCTTTGCCTCTTTGCCTTAGTGAGAGCGTGTGGTTGTCTCACTCTGTGTGTTAGTCCTGTCGCAGATCGGCAGCCTGTCCAGGATGTACTCCGCCTCTCGCTGGATGACAGCTGGGATAAGCTCCAGCCCCCCAGTGTGGCTTTGTAGCCACTGTGCCAAAGATGTGTTGACACCTGTTATTTCAAAATGGATATAGTGTGAAAGCGAGATATTTCGAATACCGCAGAAAATCGGTTAAGAGATATGAATGATGTGTTATGAGTGAGGCCCACTCATAAAGGTTAATGAACCTTTAAAACATTATTTTATTTATTTATTTTACTTCCTACATTACCTTGGCCCATTTTTTGTTTTCTTTGTTTGCTTGTTACAATTTCTATCCTTAAAAATTCATAAAACCTATGAACTGAATTGATGACAGAATAGATGATTCTCCCACCATGGGAGAATCCAGCTGCCACTCGATGTGAGCCAAGCTCTCACTACAGTCCTTCAGGGAGGATCAGATCCCTCATATTACCAAACAAGACTATATCTAGACTGGTTGGGCACACGCTTCTATACCTTGAAATATGTATGAGACAATAAAAACTGAGACTCTGAGATTTAACCAGTACACGGACTCTCCAGGACACCATGAAGTTGGAATACAGCCAGAACCAAAGGGCAGAGGGTGGTCAAAGGATCTCAACTGTTTTTCTCTGATTTTCATCAAGTGTCTGAGTCCACACGTCTCAGTTGGAAAAAGTAGGAGTTCTGATTGTGTCACATCAAAGAGTGAGGGAACAGTGGAGCAGGAGACTGACAGACAGATCTGTGCAGTGTCGGCAGTAATGTGGATCATCCACATGGAAAGGATCCAGTTGCGATGGTTCGGGTATCTGACTAGGTGAGGTGGTTCCAAAATTTCCAAGCAAGAGAAGATTCTGGGTCAGGCCCAGGATGCACATAAGAGAACATGTCTTTGGGAGAGATTATGTCCCCCACAGGAGCTGGAGGAGGTGGCTGAGAGGCACAGGGAGGTGTGGCCAACTCAGACTGCAGCGCCCCTGCTCTGTGTCGAGCACCCAGAAGATGGATGGATGTATTACACTGAAAATGTCAATGTGATTTTTAATGAGATTATTTTCTATTAAAGCAAAACACAAACTTTTAAAATCTGAGTCTGTTCATTCATGGTATAAATAACCTCATGCTCCTCCCAAACAGCTCTGTGAACCCACATCAGCACTTCAAGAGAAATGTTCATTTAGAGCAGGATGTTGGTGGCATGCCGGTCATGTCCAGATGTTCCCCAGAATTCATTAGGCAGTGATTTTTCTGCTGTCAGCAGACATCTTTAGTGTGATCTCTTTGATAAATGGGACATTTTGAACATCAGAGCATATTTTCTTCTGTATTATTTTCAACATGTCTGCTTTACTTTGCTGTTAAAGACCAATAATGACAATCAGCCAGTCATGTGCTGCATTTTGGCTTGAACAGGTGTCGACCTTTTTCAGTATCATTTCAGCCTCAGTCTGTGTTAGAGATGATGGATGCCTCTCAAGCAGGCCCATCTAATCATATATATATATATATATATATATATATATATATATATTACAGCTAGAAGCAGTTTTAAAACAAGTTGGTTGGGGCCCTGCCAACAAAGTCTCAGAGCAATATCTTCAGACATATGGATGGGAGGGAATGCATTCTGCCCTGGCTGGCACTGAGCTCTACCACAATGTTTAATATTGTATGGCTCTAACCTGCTGGGAAATCATTCCTGGGACATCTACGGGGCTTAAAAGAAATCAGACTCCAAACAGCAACTGTTGCAAAATTCACAAAATGTGTATCTACATTAGTTTCCTTCACTTAAAGCCACTGTTAGGGTGGCCGTGACTTTTATTATTCTAAGGATATTTACCACAGTATGGTGGGCAGCATAGAGATCTCTCCTTATGGTGATGTGGTGTGTAGTCTAGCTGACCAAATCAGTGCTTTTCACATTCATTTAATGTTTATTGTTTCTTTGTTTGTTTTGTCATTATTTTATTTCCACATCTGGTCAAAGCCCACACACAGAATACGTTTGAATGAAATTAACACTGGGGCACTAACAGTGGAACACTGCCACCATGCGGGCAAATGTGGAAACTGCGCGAACAAACGTTCACCAAATGACATGTACGACTAGCAGTGGTATCTACCGTGTTAAATATAGTATGTTAGTTTGCATATGTGAGCAAGCGCGTGGTAGATATTTTTATTGAATAAGTGAAAAAGCGGAACATTTTAAACCCGAAAGGGCCAGGGAGTCACAGGAAGCGGACTGATTTCACGGTTACACGCGTACTTATGCTTCCTGTAGGAGACTTGGACGCGGTAGGCACTTTGTGGTCATGTTTAAGAATGTTTTGAGCAGATTGCTGACTGAAACCTTCTTTGTTGAGCGTAATGTGAGAAACACGCCGTTATTACGGAGGGTAGCTGCCGTCTCCGCGCCGGTGAGGAGCTTTACGGACGTGAAGGACGAAGCGCAGCCGCCTTTCGACACCGCCCTGCTGGAGGTCCTCGTATGTCCGCTGTCCAAGAAACCGCTCAGGTAACACACACAGACCTGTGCTCAGGTTACTTACTAATATTTACACGCTCTGGTTCCTGTTGTTCAGCCGCGTTGCTCTCTAGCAGGACAAACGGCACCACCTCACACGCACTTTCTAATGTGTAAAACAGTTTGAGCCTTTTAAATTGTTCAGTTCTTGTCCAGTTTGAAGACGCAACACTGCGATGTACTTGCTGATTGGCTGGCTTATTAGGGTCTGTCATTTGCCTTCGCAGATACTTTACATCTGTGAAAACAAATGGAAATTATGCCTGAATCTGATTTAGCTGAACATCTGTGTGGCTCTCAACACAACCCCTCACTCACATAGACAAACACAACACCTACGCCAGGAAGCTCTTTGTGAACTACGGCTCAACATTTAACACCATCACCAAACAGACTGGAGTTCAGATTTCCTCACTAATCGCCCTCAGATTGCTGTTAACCACGAGTTTTGGTTGTTGTTAAGTTTGCAGATGAGATGATGCAGTTGGAATCTGCCAACAGTGATGATACAAACAGCAGGAAGGAGGTTCACAATTTGACCCCATAGACTGATGATAACCTGCTCTTAAACACCACAAAGACCATTACAGACTTCAGGACCTTATGTGTATATACTTCTCAAACTTTATACTTTGTAATACATGTCAGTAAATTGTATTATTTAAGTACTGTCCGTATCCTCCACTGAATCTTTTTTCTGAAAAGTTCTCTGAGATCAGATTTAGATTTTTAGGTTTATCTCCTAAAACTTTTAAATTAATGATCATCGAGCTTCCTGTTGTTGAGTTCCTGAGGACTGCACACGAGCACATCTGTGCTGGTGTTTTTTACACACACCCATTGTGGGCAAATGCTTACATAAATATGATAACATAAAACAAGCATTGCATGTGTGTGTCATGGTTTTATTAAGTTCAGATGAACTACAGCTGCTACTGCTGCTGCATTCACAGTTTGTAGGAAATGTCAGCACTTCAGTGCTATGAAAGACTTATTCTGCTATGTTATTCCTCCACAGATACGAGCCTAAGACCAACGAGCTGATCAACGAGGAGCTCGGCATTGCCTATCCTGTCATCGACGGCATTCCCAACATGATCCCTCAGGAGGCCAGACTCATTCGGAAAGATGCTTCAGACACACCTGCACAGTAACAGAAAAGCCTTCACTTTGAGTTGACCTGAGCAAAAACAAACTGGACGCTGGCTTTAAAAAAACTGTTTGACTAAATAAAATTGAGGTGTTGGATTCTTTCAGTTGTATTTTGGCATTCTAACCAAAGCGCACGTAACACATCATCATCCGGCAGCGCGTTACCTCCGAGCCCATCTGCAAACATGTTGTCCCTGTCTGTGATGGTGGGACTGGTCCCCATAGTGTCCCTCTTTGGTTTGTTCTACTCTGCGGCGGTGGATGAGAACTTCCCTCAGGGCTGCACCAGCAGCAGCAGTGTGTGCTTCTACAGCCTGCTGCTGCCCGTCACCATCCCCGTCTACGTCTTCTTCCACCTCTGGAGCTGGATGGGGATCAAGCTTTTCAGGCACAACTAGGCTGGCAACTCAACACAGATGTGTTGAGTTGCCAGCCTCACACAGTTGTAAAACATCTGTGGCTTTCATTTCTTTAAGCCCTTTGGAGGAAGGTAAAGACGGATGGTGCATGGATGCTTTTTAAAGCTGAAAATATTTTTGTGTCTCATTTAGAGTATGAGACACAGTATGTTAGTCAATACAGCTGTTAAACAAACCCCTGGATATCATTTGCACATAAAGTAGAAGGCTGTATATTTTCTGAGCAAATAATAAAATTCTTTATGCAAATCCACTGTTTCCATACTTGAGTCCTGACTTCACAAAACGGGAACATCTACTCGTTTTAAATGAATGCATTTGAATATATAACAGACTACATTTGTGCAGAATCGACTGTGCTGTGATCTGCAGTGTGTCTCAGTTTTATTGCATTCAGAAAATTCACAAGCTGACATTTAAAAGTGGAACTCAGACAAACTTGCCTGACAGCTCAAACATGACAGAGCACCCAAAACTTTTAAGTCGTGCTGCACAACACCGTCCTCAGATGTGTTTTTCTACCACAGTTCATGTTGAACTCATGAAAGCGTGATTCCTCTTGTGATGAATGTTGGGAACGTTCAGCAGGAGCCTTCAGCGTGCATCATAGAGGGAAACGCGATCTGACCGCATTAGAGCTGCTGGCTTTCTGCTCAAAGTCTCGGGTTGAGCTCGAGGTTCAGGAGCAATGCAAATTTGACACACGCTGCTCTTCACCTGAAGCCACGAAAACTGAACTGGTGTTGCAGAAATGATGCAGTGTCTGCTGGAAAAGTTTTGGGAATGCACAAACTGTGACGTCTAAGGACTTTTATCTGAATCAAGAGTTACGATGGAGGCAGGTCGGAGTGTAGAAACCTGAAGATTCCTGCTTTTGAGTTTCAAACTTTGATTTTAAAGTTGTTTCTTTTCTTCTGTGTTCTCACAGTCATGCTGTTTCTTCTCGATTTTCTTTCCTCACAGCTGCTCATCCTTCTGTGAAACAGAAAGAGACAGGTTGGTTATTTTATTGAATTAGCGTGACTTAGTGCTCTTTTGGTATGAGCAGAGACGCCCAGCACTGAGCTGCTGACGGTCATTTTAAGTTGGAGAAAGTTGAAAAGAGTCACTGCTTGTTTGATTTGTCAGTTTTGCAGACAGCAGCACACAGAGCACTTGTATCATCAGTCATGAGCAAACTTCCACTGGCTCTACTACGTATATATCAAAACAAAACAGAAATTTGATGCCTGTGATATTCCAGAGAAAGACCTCAGGCTTTATGTGGCCAGGCTCTGTGTAGTTTGACATTTTACTGAGCACATATGTGCACGTCTATCCATAAACTGGATTAATCATGCAAACTGCACGAACGTGAGATCCACGTGGCTGCATGAGGAGCTGTCAATGCTACGTTTGGTGCCTTTAAAGTTACCCTTCAGGATATATATTGCTTTTATGACTTATTAGTTTCCCAGGTGAAATATGGATATGGCATCCTGCAGTTGCACCAGCAGCACAGTGGCCAGCAAGGCTTGTAACGCCTGCCCTGACCTCATTCATTAATGAATCTGTGGAGGATGGTCATCATTTCCTCCATGGTGCTTTTGGTTATCCTGCACAGTGTGGCAAGAAAACAAACCTTCCCATCGCCCAGTAGGAGGCTCCACAGACCAGCCAAAAGTTATTACCAGCTGTGTCACGGCTCCATCACTGTGGGCAGGCAGATGGAGCAGCATGTGAGTGTTGTTGATAGTCTGAATGCTGGTTTGAGATCAGCTTCAGTGATGAAGGAGGACATTCGGTGTGCATAAGGAGATTAAAGGCAGTCTTTAGGTCCCAGCTAGCTCAAACATGAGATAAAATACGCTGCACAGGTAAACTCGTGTTTTCTTTCTGAGCAAATCAGTTAAGCCAGGACTAAAGTTAAGCTTCATAACTGCATGAATGTAAGTTTTATATTTTACTGGAGCAGTGCTAGTCAATCCTTTCTTTTTTATTCCCTAAATATAGAAGTGTGTTGTTTGTTGTAATCATTTGTTTTGCATCAAATATTTTTAAAAATATTTTAATCCAGAGACAAAACTCGGCTTCTGGAAAAGAAAAAATGATCACGTTATGAGTCCTAATATTTGTTCCACTGTGTTGTAAACACAAGTTCTCCAAAATATTTATAAGAATTGATAAGAAACGAAGATCACTGAAACTATTAAAACCTCATTTTAACATGTTTTTGTTCAATAAGCCTCATAAGTTATGGATAAACCACATGAACCTTGTGTTTCTGTCATGTAGTGACTGATGCTGATCAACTGTATTTGGCTTTGCAGTTGCATGAATCCAAATGTGAAATTTTTGATTCAAATCATCAGAGGAGGATTATTTTGTTTCTGTTTATATTTTATTCTGCGATTTTTCTTTAACATTGAATATTTATCCTTTACTTGTTATGTCAGTACAGTTTATTATATTAACTGTTAACAATGGCACAAAATGCTGTGTCTGAAAATAATGCACAATATTTATACTTCATCTATCTACATAGATAGACAGACAGACAGATAGACAGATAGATAGATCGATCGATCGATCTCATGTATGGAGGTGATTATCAGTATACAAGGCTTATAAAAATAAACAAACACATTCACTTCCTCTACTTGTAGCTCAGGAAAAAAGCAAGCATAAGCTAACAAAGAAGCTAGCTGCAGATTATATCAAAGAGGTGTGTAAGTGAAATACAATTGATATAAATATACAAGTACAGGTTAATACAAGCTGTCAGTATAAAATATAAATATCACATTTGTTCATTTCTTAAGAGTTTACATAAAAATTACACCATTAGATATGCTGTTGCATGCTTTTTGTTGCCATGGCAGCTTTTGAAAAAAAGATTTCAGGGTAATGTTGTGGTGGGACAGCTGTAAGACTGGTACAGCCCCTGCATTACTGGTCTAGGTCATTGCTGTCACGGCTGGGGGGGCGATAGTGGCTCTGGCAAAACTCCCTGATCCGAGCACAAGCCTCCAGCGTCATCTCCTCCGGGACTGTCACCACAATGCGGAAGAAGTTGGGATACTCAAACGCCTGTGAAACGTCAGGAAGGATGGAGTTTAGAAATATGTCGGTGTGAGGACCGACGAATCAGCAGTGAGAGGAAAGGTGATGGCGTCTTACCGAAGCAGGCAGACAGAAGACAGACTGCTCAGTCACCAGCCGTTCGGTGAAGTCCACATCGTTCTTAAAATCTGGGAAGTGATCCATGTCGATCCCAATCTGGAAAATGTAAACACCATGGTTGGTCTAACCTCTGAACTCTGAATGCTGACATCATTCAGACTCCTTTACTGTGTGCACACTTCATTTGTAGTTTCCCACCAGTCAATGAAATCTTTCATTTTCAAAGGTATTCAGACCCTTTTAGTGGTTCCGACGTGTTCTCAGCTGTATTCCATTTGCCTGAATCATCCTTAATCATCTGACTGGAGAGACTTGAGAATTTCTCACATGGGATATCAAATCCCAGGATTTTTATTTCACGTCACCAAAACTCTCAGTAGATCTCTTTGATAAAACTATGGTGAAGCAGAAATCTGCCAGCAGTGTCCCCGGGTGCTTAGCGGCCAAACTTTGGGAGAAATTTAAAACCATGAGGATTCTTCCTACATCCGTCAGTCTGGCCAAACAGAGTAGCCAGGCAGGTAGGTCCTTGATCACAAAGGTGACCAGGAGCCCAAACAGTCGCTCTGATAGAGTTTCAGAAGTCCTGGAGAACCTGCTGGTAGCACCACCATCTCACCAGCACCCCATCAATCAGACTTTTATGTTATGGGCAAAGAGAAATGTAAACTATGACAATCTGTCCAAAAGGCCATAATGTAACTATTTGTTGCCATAGTAGAAGCACTTTGTCCATGTATCTACATCTCACATCTGCACATGGACACGCCTAAACTCATTATAAACCCCATAACACTCATTACCTGCTGACACTAGCCCCACAGAGAAGCACGGCGGTGGTATCATCGTGCTGTGGGGTGCAGCAGGTACAGGGACAATATAAATATTGTAGAGATTACCTAAGCTGTAACTGCTGCTCAAAGACCTCATTCAATGTGTGAATTAAAGGTCTAAAAGCTTCGGTAAAGTTTCTGTTTTAAACTCACAAATCTGATTTTTAAAGTCATTTAAATGGTTAAGTGTGAGTCATTTGCAAAATCCAGACACTGTGGAAATTTCCCATAAAATGTGATAACCTGGGCACAGAGCACAGTTCACTGCAAAAATGATGATGCTAAGTAAACTAAATGTGACTGAGAAAATGATCATGGCACAGAAATTTGAATGCAAACCACACGTTCAACACTCACCATGATGTACATGGCTCCTGAAGGCATGACAGGGTTCAGGCCGGGGACGGAGGACAGCTCGCTGAAGCAAATCTCTGAGTTAGACTGAGGAAGCAAAGGATGATAAACCGTTCACACAGTGTCATGTGATGCATATTAATGTGCATTACTATGTGATTTCAGACAGAATTAAGACATAACAACAAGAATCTGGACTGAAGGAACAAAAAAGGAACCAGGGTCAGCTACTGCTACTCAAAGTTAATTATAAAGGTGGAATATATTAAAACAACTTCTCTCCATTACCTTAAGGAAGCCGATGGTGTTGTTGTAGAAGCTTTGAGGAGTGCTGTCGAGGATTTGCTCCAGCGCCCCCTGAACGATGCTGCAGGCTCCCAGAATACGCTGGCTGAGTTTTACCAGACCCTGTCGAATCTGAACGAAGAAACGTGTCAGTCGGGTAAATGTAATGTGCAAATTATTGTATATCATTGTGTGTTTGGGTTTGAGTATTGGAACAATCGGTCAACGCTTCCCCCATCAGGAACTGTAAAATAAATAAATAAAAAGTACCTCAGTTCCAAATATATCATCCCTGTCATGGATGAGGATCCATCCCATCCTCCAGCCAGGCACCAGCCAGCGTTTAGCCAAACCGCCACAGGACAGGATGGGAACATCACTGCTGAGGGATGCCATTGAAGGAGAACTGCATCCTGGGAAAACCTGAGGGCAAAAACAAGAATAAAAACTTTATATTACATATGCAGATATTTGACGTTTACAGATGTTTCATTGAGGCAAACTGACGTGCAGCCGTTTTAATTCATATGACTTAAAAGGAGAAAATCATCATGCTGTTGTTGTTTGGATCAGTTTGGGTTTCCCACAGACTGACACCACAGTGAAAAAAACGAGAG